AATAATATAGTTTAAGTAATGTATGTTTATTTAAAAAACTCCTTGCTTTGTATAAAATTTCAATGCTTTTTGATATTTTACTATTCAAATTTTTTATGTGACTTTTCCATGAAAAATTTTTATCAATATAATTACCAAAAAAGTTGGTAACTGTTACTTTTTTTAGAAATATGTTATCAATAAAAAGCGGTGACATGTCATTTGGTGTAAGATTTTTTTTGTAGTTCGGATGGAAAAAAATCCATTTCGCTTCATCAATATTAAGAGATTTTTTTGGTAGTTCGGATGGAAAAAATCCATTTCGCTTCATCAATATTAAGAGATTTTTTTGGTAGTTCGGATGGAAAAAAAATCCATTTCGTTTCATCAATATTAAGAGATAGTTTATTTGTCTTGAACCAATCAGAAACTCTTACTTGTTCATTATTGATATTCTAAAGTAACAATATAATATCATTATGAGATAATTTCGTGTCATTTGGAAACATAATCGTCATAAACATACGGAACTTGCTACTAAAGAGTTATAATGTTGCGACGAGGAAGGGGGGAGGAGAGGGGGGAAAACGGTCAAAAATTGGGTGACGTAATCTGTGGACGACACCTTACGACGCACTATGAGTCCATATCGCGAAAATGTGGTCAAAGCTTTTTTTCCAAATTTTTTATTTTAAAGAAAGTGATTTTTTTCTATAAACGGATAAGAGCTGTACTTAAACACAAAATAAATTGGTTTTCTGTAGTGGAACTTAAAAATACATTGTTTTTAGAAAATATTAATTTTAAAGAGTATATCCAGAAGATTTTTTTAATTATTATTTTATATTCAAAGTGTAGTACATACTCAAACTGTCTAATCCAACATTTTAGTAGTAGTAGATATTATCATAGTATGAGATTTTAAACAAAGTAGATATTATCATAGTATGAGATTTTAAACAAACATTCAGATTTTTACTAGATTGTTTATTTTACTTGGTTTTGAAAAAGAAAAGTTGCACGATAAATTATACAAGAATTTTTGTTGTTATTAATTAAACATAAAAAGATTAGAACTTATAAACATAATTGAAGAAGTTGGTACAAATAATGCGTACTTGCAAGCCATTTTAAAAGCTGAGGTTGAAAAAAAGCTCACCAATAATAAACTGTCTGAGAACATCAGTGATGTAGAACTCTCCGAAAAAAGACTTTTTATTCAAAAATTTAGAATTAAGTATGCAAAACATAGTCGTAATTTTGAAAGACTAATTAAACAAGAAGAACACTGGTTAGAAGGTGATTTGTTTCATAATAAAGATACTAGTCCTGAATCAACTTTAAATAAAGAAAGACCAGGAAAAAAATGGGCAGAGTATTCATTAAGAACAAAAAGAAGGAAAGTTTCAAGGTATTTTCTAGTTTAGAAGTATTTATTATATTTGTTATGTGTTGGATAACCTTATAATTATCATATTAAGAAAAATTTATAGAAATTTATCTAATAACGATTATATTATTTTAGTTTAGCTAAAGCCTATACAAAAGAAGAATTATCATAAGCTGCTATTTACATGCAAAATCTAGTCCTGGAAAATCTAATTTGGGAAAGAGGGAAAGAAAATTAAACTACTTTCTGAAAATAAAAATGAAACAAACCAAAGTGATAAACATCAGCCAATTATGATGTCTGCAGATCAAGCTTTATCGCTTAAAATTCATTGTGATTTGATAATTAGAAACTCATTTCTCATCATCTAGTGCAAAATGCTAACATTTATCCTCCATTAAAAATAATCCTTAAATCAAAAGCAGATTGTTATCCAGAGGATTTGCTTATTACAGAAAGAAACAGTCTGTATTTCCTTTAAAATTATTGATTTGGGGATTCAACAAATTAAGCTTAGAAAACAAACTGAAAATCTACAAGACTTATTTTAAATTTAGATCTTTGTAACAAAAACACTGTTTGATAGAAATAAAAATTGTTGTTGACTTAACTATGCTTGATGGCAAATCTGTAAACGCTATCATGCTTTTAAATTCATCGCAATTGTGCAATGTTTGTTTTGCAAAAACAAGTGAAATGAAAAATTTAGTAAAAACCAGGATGTTTATTCCTGATGAAAAATGTCTTACTATGGGAATATCTACTTTACATTGTTGGACTAGACTTTTTGAGTATGTTTTACACTTAAGCTAATAAAATAAAAATTAAAAAAAATCAAGCAAGATAATAAAATAAAATAAACTTTCTGTTATTGAGCAAAAAAGTGAAATTCAGAATCGTTTTAGAAGTGACCTTGTTGTTGATATGCATGGCTGTGGTTCCTCAACACACAGGAAATACAGCGCAAAGAGCATTTGAGAATGCAGATACTTTTGCAGACATTACGAGAGTTGATGATGTTAAAGTTATTCGTAGATTGAGATATATAATGAAAGTTGTATGCAGTGGGTACCACCTTGATTTGCAGGCCTTTAAAAAATATTGTTTAGATACTTCTGAAATAATTGTTAAAAAATATAACTGGTACATAATGCCACCTACTGCACACAAGCTATTTCTGAATGCTTTGAACTCCCAGTAGGTATATATTCAGAAGAGGCTCAGGAAGCACAAAATAAATACATTAGAAACGCAAGACTAGACCATACTT